TTTCCCCACACACCTCATCCCTCAGCTCCCTGAGCCAGAGGTCTCAGCCTGCAGACCCCAGTTCCACCCAGTCCACCTTCCCATGCCAAGCCCTTACATTCATCCCAACCTTTCATCCCCTCCCTGTCCAACATCCTTCCCACACATCCTTCCTGCCCTGAGCTCCCCACACTCCCACCACAGGGTTGGGTCATTCACTGGGGCAGGTCAGAACTCAGTGCAAGCACAACCCTTAGAGTCTGTAGGATTAGGAGATGTAAAGGAGAACGCTGCCCATGTAGGTGTGTGTGTACATGACTTGAGGAAGGTTGTACCATCCCACGGTGCCCTCCAGGTGCTTCCAAACTCCTGCTGGGCTCAGCCCTGCTCTTCTGCCCCCTCCCCTGGTGGCCTCAACCACACTGAGCTTTATGGCTGTTTGGGATTCATTTTTTCTACTGCTTTTCTGAAATAGCAAAATGGTGGCACATGCTTCTCATAAACAATAAAAAGAAACGCGTCCCAAAAATGGGATGTCAGCTGTGCTTTGCCCGCTCAGGAGAGGATACAACCAGAAAAACTGGCTGCGTTCCTCCAAGGTAGAAGATATTTGCATGCGTACATCTCGTGATGGAAAGAGTCAGCACCCCAAAGGCTGTGTAATCCAAATAGCGGTACAGAATATGAATTAGGAGAGGGAGGGGAAAAAAAAAATATCTACTTGCCCCCATTCTATGCCTGAGGAACACCACTGCAGAAGGAAGGGACAACTTACATCACAGGAAAACTGCAGCAGAGCTAAGTCCCAAATCCCACTTCAGGGACTTAACCTCAGCCTATTCTGTGCTTTCTGTTTAGTGTTAACAAAGAAAACAGTATTTCCCTGGATTTCAGTCCTGAGTGATACTGCTGGATTTGCTGCCCAGTCATGAAAAGTTCCAGGACTGGGAAGAGCAGATGAAGTTCCAATGAGTCATTAGTAGACACTGTCTCATTGTACAAGCAGAGCGATCAGGGTCACCTCCTGCCCTTCATGCTGCCTCTATTGAGGTCAGGCCCAAAATACCTCAGTACCTTCCTACAGCATTCTGTTGTTTTGTTCCTTCTCAACACAACCTTGCAGAAAACCAGCTCACGATGTGGTCACCGGGCCCATAAGCCAGACACACACTTCCCTGAGCTGTTTCAGGCACGTTTCCTAAGAAGGAACATCCCATTTCTCTCTGTTGGCCACCTAGAGCCTGAACAGTAGATGTAGGTACAGCTGCCCCCCCCCCCTCCTCCCCCCCCCCCCCCCCCCCCCTGTAGATGTCTGAGCTTAAATGAACTCCACCTGCACGGAGACATTCCTCATGCTCAGGAATAGGTTAAACAAGTCATCAGGCATGGAAAGCTGAGCTGTAGGAGATGGAAGGGAGAAGCAGCCCAGACTTTAGCCTTGATCCAACAAGTTGCTAGGAGATGAGGTGCAGGATACTCTGTCCAAGGATGTTTAACATAGACTGTACAGTCTTTGGGACGATGGTTTCCAAAGCTAGAACCAGCATCATGCAGAGTAGGTGAAAAGAAATGGCTTGAATCTCCTGGACCTTGTTGTTGTTCTCTTGTTTTGGTGTTATTTTTTCCTATTTATTTTCTGCACCTTCCCTAATCCGTCAGCTCACTGACCAGCAGCCCATTTTTTATTCCCTCCCCATGCCTCCTACGCACCACAGAGCCTGACCGATGGTGGCAGACGCTGCAGCTCAGGCACCTCCCTCTCCCCAGAGCCCCTTGACACAAAAGACAAAGCAAGGCCTGTGCCAGCATCACCAAACGACATCATTCCAGGCAGGAAAATGTCACAGTTTCTTCTGGAACGAGCAGGAGCGGCTCTGGGCAGCAGAATGCCTGGCTTTGTGCAGGAGCAGAACGCACCCCCCTCTCCCTCTGCCACTCTCCCACCCGCCTTCCCAGCTCCCAACTTTCAGCCCTTTCAACACCCACAGTCTTTCCACTCAGCCGCTAAGTGATGAAAAATTCCCTGCCAGAGGACACAGTTCAAATGGGTTATTGAAAAGAAAAGCAATCCCCTCCTCTGGGTGAACAAGTTCCCTCTTTTCCCCTTGAGGAAGAAGGGTAATAGCACAGCCAGGAAGGGAAGTAAAAAACCCAACCATCCCCAAAGCCTGTTATAATATTAAATAAGAGACCAAAGGGGTTTGGCCAGGAAAATCCCAAGTTCAAAAGAATAATTGCTCTGAGAGATTTAAGCCTAAAGCTGAGTCACTGAAATGAAGAAACATCTCCTCGTCCATAGAAAGCAAACAAATCTTGGGTCGTGCTGCAACGCTTCCGTATGTCCTTGTTAGAAAGAAAGAAGAAAGAGGAGCCAAATGCAATTAATCACTGGCTCAGAAGAAAGGATGAGATCTCTCTAATTAACTACCTTAGGCTCATCTTTCTGCTTTTGAAAACTAATCCAGCCTCCTTCTCTCACCCTTCACCTGCAGCACCGACAGGAAAGCCTGCTAGAAGTACACGGTCACCTCTCCCGTGGTGCACACAGATCTGCTGCAGCTTTCCAATGAGTGCCCAGAGCATAGTAAACTTTGTGCTGCACACCACAGAGATGCTTTTCTCAGCCACTTTTGTGGCTGGGCTGTGATGGATTCTGCATGCTCGCTAATAACATGAAGACCTCAGGTGAACTACAGGAGTTGGTTTCAAGCTGGGTATTACATTCACTATCCTATTCTAGCTGTCAAATGACCAGAAAACTTCAATTAAAAAGCACATCAACATGAAAACACTCCCCAAACAATGATCACAAGCAGTTGTAATTTTAACTAATTGCTTTATATCTGATGCTCGGGTGGTTTAAATCTGTCTGACCATCACTCTACCCACAGAAAGCTCATTCTCCACGGCTGCATGCGGTTTGTTCTGAGGTGAGAGGACAGGGCTACATATTAAGAGTAAGCCTTTAAAAATTAAGTTCAAGAGGGTGAAACCAACTGGCAAGCAGCTCTTTCATTTGCAAAAGGCAAAGCTACATTTCACAGATGATTTTTTTGTTGTAACATCATTCAAAACTTTGGAAAATGGGGGGGAGAAAAACCACAGCACTTCAGAGAAGAGGAAAGACTGGAGCTGGTGGCTACAGCTGAGGAGTAGAGATCTGGATTTGACATCCAAAAAGGGCAAACAGATCAGAACAAGTCACTCAGTTTTTCCTTCTTGGGGCTCCCTTGGTAAATAAGAGCCAATAAATATTAGCCTAACAATGAAAACAATAACAGACCAGCTCTTTAGGTCAAGTACATCAATGGTAAATACAATACAGTGGAATAATAGCAAAATGACATCAGCCGAGGAACCAAGAATGACTTCTACCCCCTCTCGTGTATACAAACCACTACTAACATATGAATAATGCTGTCAACATGCATGTCTGGGAACATTCTGTAGCAAGGGAAGGCAAAGAATGCCAAATGGACAGAACTCTCCAGCTTTGCTCATCCATGACGTGGCAGAAATATTTCTTTTCAAAGAAGTCAATTGGGGTATTTGTGTACGAGAAAGGGAAGCGACACAGCTCCAAGTACAGCTGGAGTCTTCCAGTCTCACCATGGGAAACAGGAAGGGATGCACCAACAGGGACAATGATCCCTGGATTCGTTAACATGACACCCACTCCTTTCCCTCCAGGACAATGTCACAGACACAGCCGGAGGTCACTATTGATGCTGCAGGGGCCGTTCTACGAGATGGCAGGAGCAGCAGCCCCCAAGGCACCGTAATGGGATGGTCCATCGGCCACGCATGAACTGTGGGCTGAAGCTGCCCTCCGCCGGATGCACGGACTTGGATGGGAAGGGATTTGTTAGTGACATCAGTTGCAGAACGAGCCGACGGTGACACCTAGCGGGCACAGCGACCATCTGGGCACGGACTGCTTCAGAGGTAAGCGCCGTGCCTGGAAACCGGCTTCACCCGAACACGTATGCACACACACACACACGTCTATATATATCTTGAAAACCCTTCATCCTGCACTACCGAACAGCTACAATACTGGCAGAGGTTGAAAAATAAAAGATTTCCATGCTAAAAATGAGCCTGCAAAAGCAAGAGTGCGTAAGAAAAACAAAGTCAAATTAATGCTCAAAAGGTTGCAAAGGCTTCTCCCCACCATCTACAGAAATACAGGGGGACTTTCCCTAGAAGATAATAGCCACATGCATTTCCCTGCCTGCAGAGTTCCCTGCCTATTTTACTAATAACAAACAACAACCACTAAAATTCAATACAACCAGGAATTTCTTCTCTATTGCAGCACATAGAAGGTGACAGCCTGCTACATCATGCCATGCACTAGAAAGCATACTGAAGAGCAACAGGTGTGTGCTTTGACCTCCTCCATCTCTTCCCATCCACATCCCAGCTTTGCTTTCCCTTTCCCTGACATCTTTCTCCATACTGAGCATCAATCCCTGCAAGAGTTTCACTCTGCATCGGGTTTCCATTTCTCAACTGTACAACATTGCTAGAGGTAGGCTATGCAGTGCATGCTGCTTTTCAGCACACGTAGCTCCAGAGAAAAGCAGGGAGAAAGGCTCCACTTCTCACTTCAACTTCTTTCCTTACACATCTTTGCTACTATGAAAAACACGGTTTTTTGTTGTTTTTTTTTATTATTATTATTTTATTTTTAAAATCATAATAAAAAACCTCCATAAAAACACAGCAAGTAGTTCTTCACAGCAACATGGATAGCAAAATACTGAGTTCTGGTGTGAACCTCTACTGCCACCAGCACGGCAAGGAAGGGTCTACAGCTGAGTTACTCAATTCGAGTGCTATTCACAATGGAACACAAAGATGCCTTTCAGCAGGGGTCAGGTTTGAAGCATTCTTTGCCTAATCAACCCTAAATATTAGCAAAAAGCTGTTAGCACAAGTTAGAGAAGCCTTCTGGACGCTCTAAATCTTACAAGCTTTGTTCATGTTGCAAGCAAGGCCACACCAAATAAACTCACCCAAATTTGGTGGAAATGACCCCTCCCAGGGCAGAGCCAATGATGATTCCTACTCCAAAGCAAAGGCCCAGCCTCCCCAAGGCAGCAGCACGTTCAGAAGGAGCTGTCAGATCTGTGATGACCTTCTGAGCACCTGTAAGGAAACAACCACTGCAAAGAAGCCTGCTGCAGTGCCCAAGCAACGTGTACAAGTTTATAAGCCACTGAATTATAAAACAAAATGAATTATGATTATAAAACCATTAAGGTTGGAAAAGGTGTCTAAGATTATGAATCTCAACCACCAACCATTCCCACCATGCCCACTGACCATGTCCCTGAGTGCTGCATCTCCACAGCTCTTAAACCACCTTCCTGGGCAGCCTGTGCCAGTGTCTCATCAGCACATGCCACAGAACTGTCCTTTAAGCCCTATTCTCATGCACACCACCAGAAGAAATTCATTCCATCTATAAGCTGCAGAAAGGGACACTCCAACCCTTTCACAAGTGGCAATAAGAGGCTAACACTCTACCAGCACAGTCTCCCATTAGCTAAAGCTGGCGGTACAGCTTTTACTAGAAACATCTAGAAAGTCAGACTAAAGCAGAACAACTTGGTGGGAAGTGTTGGAAATAAAAGCCATTTTTGTGACCCCATATTGATGCGACTAATTCACTTATTTTAACAGCAGAAATGAAAAAGTTCTCCTACAGAACTTTTGGTTGCAAAAAAGCAGCAGGAAGTTCAGGATAGGGCTGCTGCAGGAAACATTTTGCTGTCCGTGTTCAGATGTCAATGCCCAAGCAATATTCTCAAGATCATTCTTGAGAACAGACGTATAGAGAAGAAGCCCTGCTTTCCAGAGCCACTACTCTGGGTTCTACAGTGCTACAGCACTGTAACGTGATGGAAAATGGAGCAATAACAGCAGAGCAGCAAGGTCCTAAGCTGCAGCAAGTGAGAATTTGCTCAAACACATTTATTTCTGTGAGCACAGAAATAAAGAGAAGAATCTGCTTACCCTCAGAAGCCCTCAGGTAGGCAGGAATCTCCAACAAGATCTCTTTGCCTCCATTGCCAACCCTTAAAAGAGGTCTGGGAAGGGGTGGATCCTGGCTCCACCCCTTCCAGTCACTCAGGTGCACTGCATAAACATGAGCTCCCCTGGATTAGCCCTGACTTCCTACCAGGTGATCAATCACTGCTTCAGGCTGTGACTTAGCATTTCCACTACAAGCACCGTTACAACTGTTTCACACTTTCATTGTTTCAGTCCTAGTGCCCAACAGATGTTCTTTAATGCTGCTGGTTTCCAGTAACATGAGCACAAAAAGAGAACTCTAGCGATAAAAACTGGGAAGTCCCTCAGCCCCAACCAACCTTACCTGGCAGCCCATGCATGAACACTGATGGTAGCCTGGAGAGAAAGAGGATGGGGATGCTGGTGGAGATGGACAGGAGCAGAAAGAAGGCACTCGCAGATGCACAGGAGAGAGTTAAGGCAGCTCTGTTGCCAAACTGATCTGCAAACCTAGAGCAAAATTGGTGAGAGGCTGTAAGGAGTGGGATTGTGCAGTTCCAGGGGGATGAAGCTGTTCAGCGACCTTGGCCACATTCACTGGTCCCCTGCAAGAGCTGATGGGGCCTCCAAGAGTGAGTTCACTTTGCAACTCTGAGTCTGTTCAGATCAAGGAATCAGGCTAGATTATTATTTTTTTTTTAAGTCCAGATTCAGTGATAACTGAAGCTGTTCCAGCTTATTTCTAGCAGTCTTGCACTCAGGAAAATCCTTTTCTTCTCAAACCTACATCAAAAATTTTGGCTTCAGTCTGGCAACATACACCCTCAAACTCATCTACACCATTGGCAATCAATACACATATGAATCTTTGTCTTCTCCTATTCCCTTCAGTGCCTTTTCTGGACATCAGAGGAAATTTGGATGTACCAGGTACAGACCAGAATCCCATGAAGGGACAACAAAGCACATAGCAGCACCTTATACATGTATGAGCTGATCAGTAGCAGGGCGAAGGAGAAAAGCTAGTTTTCCTCAGTTTCCCATCACCACACTGCTTATTCAAGTTTTTCTGCTCTTTGGGAAGAGGCTCCCCACAGTCATTCTAGGATTTTTCTTGCTATTCATACTTCTTTAGGAACAGGAGCTCATGTCCCATGAGACAGGCTTTTCCCACTTTTTTCCTCTTTCTGTAGATGAGCAGTTCTTAAAAATGCACATAAACTCAAAGGAATTTTAACTTTCTATTAAACTCTGACTTAAATTCAGGGAAATGTGGCCATAGAAATAACATGACCTACAGTCTTTTCATTGACAGCTCTACTTAACATGAATAAATACCCTTTTTTTCCCCTAGGTTCCCCAGTCAGAGGACATTTCTAAGGTTACAAGTGGCTATAAAATGCTTGCAAGATTAAGCCATTAGGACCTAGGCTCTGAGGACTCCGATGTCTTAAGCCTGTTCCCAGTATATTGTTACACTTAAATGTGTGCCATTAAAACATAGCTATGTTAATATAAAGGCTGCTTCTATGTTGCAGTATTTCTAATTAGAGTGTATTTATTTTCCCCTTGGTCTGTTATGAAATCTTCAAATATTTCAGCGGGGCCATGAAACAGAACTAAACTTTTTATTGTTATTATTAAAATATAACAGATTGGCCTTTTTCAGCCATGAAAAGGGTCATGAGTATTGTTCTCACCTTCCAAAAACAGGACCTCCCACGAGCTGGAGGACACCAAAGATTGTCTGAAGGTACCCAAACCCCACCGAATCCAAACCCAGGTTCTTTGCCAAGTACTAAAAAAAGAAAAATACAAAAAACAATGGGTCAGGGGAAATGAAACATGCTACATTTCTGAATAAAGAGTTTCATGGCCCATGTAAAGGACCAGAGCTCCAAATTCTGAGAAGTTGCTTTCTTCAGCTTCCTCTACCTACACATGAAATCTTTGTCATAGAATCATTAAGGTTGGAAAAGATATCCAAGGTCATCAAGCCCAACCATAAATGCATCACACCATGTGGACTGGACCATGCCCTCAGTGCCACATCTCCATGTTTCTTGAACACCTCCAGAGTCGGTGACTCCACCAACTCCCTGTGCCTGTTCCAGTTTATCACCTTTCTCTCAGAAAAGCTGGTGAATAAATACTAAGTCTCTGGCCTACACTATCTACTAAGAAAAATCAGCAGGATGTGATCAAAACCATCAGTTTTGCACCAGGTGACAAATCAGAATCACTTCTCATGCTCACGGTCCAACACAGCCAACTCTGAGGCAGGCTCTAACATGCCGGTTCTGCCAGCAAGCATGGGGTATTAAACAGCCTTCAGAAAAAGAACAAAATAAACCTGGAAGAGCCATTTGCACCAAAGACAAGAAATGCTGTGTCCAGCAATCCATACTCACAGGCATGACTCCAAACTGCATGAACAGAAAGGTCAGCTCCAGGGTTACGATCAGGTAGGCAGCAAGGATCACTTGGCCCCTCCTGACCTCTCCCACAGCGTTGCTCTGCCCCCAGCTCTCACTCTTCATCCTCCCGGCTCCTTCTTCACCCTCTGGACTGTTTTTTCCACTCATTGTGCTCGTGGAGTGACTTAAGGCAGGCTGAAATAGGATATGGAGGTGCGTTCTGGCTGGGAACGCAGAGAATATGAAAGGTGCAAAAGCTGTGTTTACAGTCCAAAGCTTAACAGTGTAAAGATGCTGAGTCACCAGGCCGGGGACTGTCTTTACCTTTTCCTTCTCTCCTCCCCTTTTGTCAAGCAGGATCAGAGGCAAACTCTCACTTTAGCCCCAGATCTCATTGCTCAGCCTTGTCCTGGTGGGATCGCTGTGTGGAGGGCCATGCAGAGACCAGCTTGGGAATGCCAGCAAGGCTAACCTGGACATTGCCCCATGCAAGAACACGTGGCAAATTCTGCAGCTCCTTAACTCCTTCCCTTCTTTCACTTTTGTCTTTGTTTCAGCTGGAACAGAACTGTTTTCTTCAGACCGTCTGGTATAATGCTATGTTTTAGTTCTAGGAGAAAAACAATGCTGATAACGCACCAATGTTTACAGCTGCTGCTAAACAACACTGTATGGACCCAAGGCTGGGAGCTGGGAGGGAATGTTGCCTCTAGTGGCCCAAAAAAGATAACTGTTTTGATTCTTCATTAAAAGAATACTAATTTTAGTTTTGGAGGTTGCAAGCAAGCAAAGCCTACAGTGAAGCAACTACCTCTCTGTCCTTGTGCTTCTTGCAGTAAGCTCATATAGCCTCTGATCAAACATCAACCCCATACAGAATTACCATTACTCTCACCACAATCTCCACTTGAACCCCCTTCTCCCCTGAACCAGGTGCTGCAAATTGAGAGACTGCCTGCACTACAAAGTGCTCACGTGTGACTCCACTGAGACTACAGATTAATAGCCCAACTCAAAACATACATAAAAAGTATTTATTTCACACAAATTAGGAGGCTGACTGCAAACTGAGGAATTCAAACAAACAAACAAAATTATTTTGTCCTTTTTGTTTGGTTGTTCCTTGTTTGTTTGTTTGCTTGCTTGCTTGGGTTTTTGTTTCCTTGCTTGTCTGCTCTCAGTTTTATTTGTTTGCTCATCTGCTGAAGCCTGGAGGACTGGTTCAGTATTATCTTTATTTTAAAGAGGAACAGAAAACAGAAATTCCAGCACCCTGGCTTTGTAGATTATGGGGTTCTGGTGAGAAGAGACCTCAAGAGATCATGTCCTCCCTCCTGTTTGAACACATCAGCTCAGTTGTGGCTTTCCCCAAGCCGGCTTCGAAAACACCCAGGGAAAGAGATCTGCCACTTTTCTAGTACCTGGGGAGATGTTTTTCCTAATGACCAATCCACATTTCTCAAACTGCAGCCAGCGGCCACTGTCCCTTGAGGTATCAGCTGCCACCATCAAGATGCATTTGGCTGGATCACCTCCAAGCGCTTGGAGCAGCTGCAGGCTGCTGTTGGATCCCCCTGGACCACTCTTTGCCAAAGACATTGGGGGCAGGGGGATTAGAAATAGATGATCTTTAAGAACCCTTCCAATGCAAACCATTCTGTGATTTTACGATTCTACCAAGTCCTGCAGACCCCCTGACCTCCCAGGTAGCCCAGCCAAACAGAGGAATGAGGAGTGAGGGACCTTCTCATGTCACACAACGAGATGATGAGAAGGTGAGGCACACCTCATGGTGGAGTGCAGGGGGGAGCCCAGTGTTTTGGAGAGGGCTGTCACGCTCCGCCTCCTGGTAAATGTAGGGAGGATCGACGGTTTAATGTTTCACCAGGGACTGGTGCTGTGCTGCTGGAGACTGCAAGGAACAGCCTTCTGCAAACACATTCAGAGCATGAGTCAAAAAGCACTTTCAAAGAGTGACCCTCCTATGGTGATGCAGACCCAGCTCAGGACAGCTTAGACGTCGCATTTGTTACTAAAGAAGGAAGGTTACCCAGAGTGCATCCCAATTTAGCAAAGGATTGGTGCTGGGCATTGAATTTGTCTAAGTGCAAAACAATGGGTTTTTTTGCGTTTTGGGTTTCCTGCGCACAGCAGCAACATTGTCAAGTAAGACTTCCTGGTTTGCACTGGGCAGGCACAATGCACAAATTGCCAACATTGAATAGAAGAGTAAAATTAATGACAGAGCTCTCTTTCCAGAGGTTTTGAGACAATCACGAAAACAGCTCACGAAATACAATGTGAAACAGTGCTAACAGGAAACGTTGCTGACTTGGACGTGAAAAGCTGCAATATTTTGACTGGTAAATTTGTCTCTGCAGCAACTGGAAAGGGATTCCAGGGAGGCAATGACTTGCATACGTTCTGCTCTCCATCAGCCACCCTTTCCCTCCACAGACAGCCTCATCCTGCCCAGGAGCCCAATCCAGCCATGACTCGGCTAATCTGCAGTGCTAACACATCATTCCCAATGGGTTGTCCACACTGGTGCTGCATTTTGTTCTAAGGGGTCTGCTCTGGGTCATCACGTCACTGACGAGTCACATGGAAATAAGAGGGACTGATTTTTAAAGCAGGGGAGAACACATTATGAATAGAAGATGAATTTTCTTGGGTACGATAAATAAACTTTAAACAGATGCATATCCCAGGGAGACTGTGTTGAAAGCAAGCAAGGAGATGAGTGTGAATGCCTTGTGATTATACTGCAGATTAGGCCATTAGCTATGCATTAAGCCTTGACAATTATTCTCAACATTTTTGGCGTATTTACAGTTGCCCTCCCTGGTATATCTTTCCTGAGGCCTATTTATCTGGTAATCTCTGGAAAAATAGATGGGGAAACCCGAGAACAACTTTACAAAAGAAATTTGCAAAGACTTAGTGTTTATGTTACTCGGGAAGAAATCTTTCTTAAATCACTGGAAATGGGAAGCCTGGCCAGCTGAAAGCACTTGGGGAGGGGAAACCCACCCACGGCAACTGCAGCAGTTGGAAATGTTGGTTGAGAAAGGATAAACCGTGAGGAAATCCATCCTAGATCCTTCCCTTCTCCTGACTTTTTTTGACAGAGGAAGGTTAATGTGACCTGCAGCAATGCCAAGAGCTCTGGGTGGGATCCACCTGTCAGAACAGGATTTACAATCTCAGAAGGGCCTTTAAAAGGGACAGAAGTGCTGGCCAGCAACAAAGGGCAGCTCTCAGGAATCAAATCCTTTGTCAAAGTGAGTTGGTGGTCCCTCCAGCTATGAAAAAAAGCAGTGAGATCATTCAGATTCTGCTCCAGAACAATAGAAGATCCCTTTGGGAGACAACCCCCAGGGAACCATCCTCCTGGTGATGCTTCTGAAGCTCAGAAGTGTGGTAGGGGAAAGGGAAGCAACCTCCTGAAGTATTCCCAAAGGCCTTCAGGCCTCTCCAGGAAGGAGATTGGGATGCTCCTGGTGGAGAAACACTCTGATAATGGGAACCCAAAGCACTGTATGGGCTCATGTTGCTCACACAAGGCATCATTCCCTTTCCAACCTGAGTGGAAGGCTCTGACTTGTGCTGCGCTGAAAGATTTGCACTGTTGAGCAAATGAGAGCACATACAGCCCTGGTATGGCCAGAATTATGTCCCACAGTTGTCGACTGATTTATTCTTTTGTCTAATTGTGTTCACAAAGAAAAAAAAAAAAAAAAAAGCAGCTTGCTAATGAATGGAAAAAGAATCCACAAGGCCAGCAAAAAAAAAAAAAAAAAAAGAAAAAAGAAAAGAAAAGAAAAAAAGAAAAAAAAGAGCCTTCTTTAGTTTACAAAATAGCAAAATAGCACAGTCTTTGGGGATTTTCATAAGAACTACAGAAATGGTCCAAATCGGCAATGAAATCAGATTCCCAGTGGCTGCAGGACTCTTTTGGCTCTTTCTACATGTGTATTAAATTGCAAAAAGCAATTATTTGTAATTTGTTTTTATAAAAATGCGGGTGTGCTTATTCTGCCTGGCGAATTGTTTTGTGAAATGGAAAAAGACCATTGTTCATTATTTTGGTAAAGTCTTTGTTACTTAGCATATTAAACTGCAAATCACACTTTATCTGAAATAGGGCTGGTTCTAATTGACTTTTTAATGGCAGAGCCCCAAAGCTCCATCTAATACTGAGACCCTGTCTGGTGCCCTGCAAGCAAAACAAGAGCTCCAGACTCAGATGAGGGAAAAGAAGTGGATCCTCCTTGGCTCACAGCTGGGGCTCCGACAGCCAGCAGGGTGCGACGGCTCGAAATCACGAAGGAAGTCTGTGGAAGAGACTGGAATCAGATTTGGTCATCCTTTGGCCTCCAGTGCTGCTGCTTAACCACAGGGCAGCTTCTCCTCTCTGGATAAATCAAACCAAAAGAGAACATTTCTGAATGCTGGAGTCTGACATCAACACATATGCAGATGGGGTAGAGACTGTGTCAATTGTGAACGAGTTTTGGAAAAATGCTGTGGCCTGACTTCAGGAGTCACACCAAGAATAACATGACCACATAGGCAGAGAACACACGGCTCTTTGCACTCATCCCATCACATCAGCTCTGGCAGTGTCCTGCTGGGACAGGATGGTGCCTGCTTTAAATGACACCTTGCTGAGGTCGCTCCTCATCTTGTCACGTGTGGCTGCAATGATCACAGCCTCCTCTACCTACCCAGACGTCTCCAGGACCTCCAGATGGCTCTGCCCCTTCGGGCAAGGGATGCTTGTCCCCAGACTTGCTGCTGGACAGCATCTGAAGTTCTGGCTTCCAAGATGCACATACTGTGTGTCTTAGAAATATCACAGAACCATCACAAAACCATGACAGTTGGAAAGATCAATAAGTCCATCCAGTCCAACCATCAACCCATGCCTTTGACCGCTACAGAGCGTGCCCCCAACTACCACATCCACCCTTTTCTGGAACACATCCAGGGACGGTGACCCCACCACCTCCCAGGGCAGCCTGTTCTTAATGCATCACCACTTTTTCTGACAACAGATTTTTCCTAATATCCAACCTGAACCTCCCCTGGTTCAACCTAAGGCCATCACCTCTCATCCTATTGTTGTGACCCACGAGAAGAGGACAATCCTTGCCACAGCCTCCTTTTGGGTCACTGTAGAGAGCAAAATACGTAGGAAGCCCAAATGTTTATATCCAAAGAATATGCAAGATGTGACAAAAAAATGGATGCACACACAGACAAAGAAAGCCTCTCGGTCAGCTTTCAATGTGCAATGTGTCATTCAGCCCATATCATACAGCCACCTCCTGGAATCACAGCGATGTCTGGAATGCAGAAGCTGTTTATCATCTAAATAACATTTAAGCCGTTATAATTTATATGAGAATCGTAAATGATTTGGGCTGTATGAAGCCTCTTGTTGTGGTTTGTTGCAGGAATGCTGCAGATTTCCTCTGCAAACATTACATTCTGCAAACAATGGGAGCCTGAGATGCTTTCAGCTGGTCTCGAGCCTCCTGCATCTACCAAAATGTTTTCCTGTGTCAGAATCAGACAATCGCCCGGTTTATAACTTTCAGACGTTTGAGAGACCACTGTAACACAATGTAACTGCAGTCCCTCTGCTGGTTGGCTGTCCAGCTAAGCTGTACTCGGCACAAAACAAAACGTGGATGTGTATTTAATGTTCCTGCTAATGTAGGTTTCTTTGTAAGGCAATCAGAGAGCTGCAAGGCACACGTCAGTAAGGCCTCACCCATTCCACCCTGGTCCCCTACACAGAGGTCTGTGTGATGCTCCCAGACAAACCCCACCTGCTTGCAGGCAGGGAAGATATGCATACCCTGCCCCGTTCCCAGGTTGGTTTCTCCTTGGGATGTAAAGAGAAGGGAATGGCTGCCCCATGTGCCAGCTGTGCAGCTTTGGAACGACTTCATGTGGCATGTGGTCACTGCCCATACAGGGATGAGGTGGAATGGAGGAGGAGGGATAGCCATAGCAAAGCGGGGACGAATTTATCAGCAGCTCAGAGGCAGTGACATTGACTGAGGTGGCCCGACAACAGCACATCACTGTATCAGCACTTCTACATGCTCACAGTCCTGGTTTTACTTACAAGAGGGAGGGTTTCCCTGCTACTTTTTGGTTCAAACCACAGGAAGGCTTTGGAGAACCTTTGCTGCTCCCTGCGCACCTGCCCTCAGAATGAATTTGCTGCAGACAAAAAGAAATGAGCCCTAATTTCCAGGGGCTTTAAAGCACTCTTTCAAAAGCGCTCTTTCAAAACCCATTGCTTACAGCATTCTTCAGAAGTTGTACTGTGTCAGTGCAAAATGCTATCATGTGAAACTATGTGTATGTACTTTGCTGTGTGAGGCACGTGCTTATTGATAAATAATCAGCGCTTGTTTATGCTCTCTCCAGAACAAACACCATTACTTCTGTGACACAATCCTCTCTTTGGCTTGAAACAAACTGTGGGACTCCCCGCAGAACATGCTATTGCATGACATGCCTGAGAGAACTGTACTGCTCATGCTGGTAAAGCTGCTCACTGGAGAGCAGGAGGATATCTGCCAGCATCAGGATGAAAATGTCTTTAATTCATGAGATCAAGCTTCACTGAGAGCCCATTATGAGTGCATCCTCTTGCACCCAGCCCTCCTGGCCCTGCTCACCTAAAGCTCACTCTCTTATTCTCACAGAATTAAAGAATCATCATCAGAGAACTGCTTGTGTTGGAAGGGGCCCTTAAAGGCCATCTGGTCCAACTCCCCAGCAGTGAGCAGGGACACCTGCACTAGATCAGGTGCTCAGAGCCCCATCCAGCCTGACCCTGAACGTCTCCAGGGAAAAAGCGTCCACCCCTCTGGGCAACCACTGCCAGTGCCTCACTGCCCTCATCGTAAAAAAACATCGTACTTAGATCTCCTCTAAACTTCCCCTCTGTTAGTTCGAAATCATTTCCCCTTCCCCTGCAGCAGCAGGACACCCGGTGCATCACAGCGGGGTACGAGGCGGTACGTCCCGCAGCCCGGCACCGCCCGGCCCGGCCGACATTAGAGGGCACCATCGCCCCGCACATCGGGGCCAGCCCCGGGCACGGGTTGCGAGCATCTTCAAGAAAGGAGTTTTGTTATTGTTGCGTTTTTAAACCTTGATTTTGCACCCTCGAGGCGTGGCTGGCATCCACCTTCATTTTTTTTTATTACAGTTCTGAATGTACCCAGGCTGCAATAACTCGAAAGGTCGTGGGCTGGTGGTACAGCTTGGAGTTCAGAACTCCAAAGTACCGTGCAAAACTGCCACTGGTACAAATGCAAAGCTGCAAACTGCCTGTGATCACGCACACCTTTGCAACTCTTTGTCCTACTTGCTCTCTCACTTGGTTTGCTGCACGAGGACTTCTCGTGGCACCAGCTCTTGATAAGGTTGCATGGGCCATTGATCTGGGTGCTGCCAACACCCCTCCCGCCGTGGGGTTCCAAAAGATCTCCATTGGAACACCTCCCTGCTGATGGACACACATCCATCCAGATGAGTATCTTAAAAAGGCACTCCCTACCCCACTCCAAGACAAGGGCTGCTCAAACAGGAGGGCAGCATAATGGTGAGATGAGCTCATGTGCAGATGACCATGGAATCATAAAGTGGATTGGGTTGGAAGGGACCCTCAAGACCATCTGGTTCCAACCCCCTGCTATAGGCAGAGACACTTCCCTCTAGACCAGGTTGCTCCAAGCCCCATCCAGCCTGGCCTTGAGTTCTGTCAGGGAAGCATTTATGCGGGCTTAAAAGTTAGGAGAGGAAAATGCTGCGGTTTCCATGTAGTTCTGCTCAGCGAGGCTGCAGCTTATTAATTCCATGCAGCCGAGAAGTGCTATTTTTAAAGGCTGCCCTCAGCTTGTTTTGAACTCTGCGAGCATCCCGCTTTGTTTTGCGGCAGGGCAACCAAACTACGGAGCCAGAACCGACCCCGAGTCCTCCTCCCGCGCCTGTGGATGCTGAGCAACGTCTCCTCAGGGGAAAAAAAAGAACAGGAAAAAAAGAGAGAGAGAGAAAGAAAGGATAAAAACTGACTGTGAGGACGCCCCAAACGTGCACACCTCTAGAGGAAAGGCGAGAGGGAGGGGCCCAGAGCAGCCCCGAGAGGAGAGGAAAGGAGGAGACGGGAGGGAGCAGCGGCCGCGGGCAGACAAAGGCGCGGGGACGCGGCGGGAGGGGAGCTCCGTGCCGCCCCCCCGGGGCCGGGCCAGCGCCGGGGCCGCCCCCCGGGCCGCGGCGGGGCCGAGCCGGGCCAATGCGGCCGGCGGCGGCGCGGCGCTGCCCGGCGCAGCCAATGGAGGGCGCGGGCAGGAGGGCTGCCGCTGGGGGCCGGGGGCCGGCGGGGGGGGACCCGCCAATCGCGGCGGGCCGGCGGCGGGGAAATACTATTATGCTAATGGTTGTTTTGCTCGCCCTCGCGGGGAGCGGGGTTTAAAAGCCGGGAGCCGGGGGAAGGGGCTCAGAGGCGGAGGCAGGGCCGGAGCGCGCTTGGCACAGGACTGGACGAGACGGGACGGGCGGCGAGGGGAGCGGCGGGGGCGGGCGGCCACGCACCCACCCACCCCGCGGCGATGTCCGACGTGCACCTTTCGGGTGCGGCGGCGGCTCCGGAGCGCTTGGCGGCCCTGCGAGCGCTGCCCGTGCCCGGCCGCAGCGCGGTCTGCAGGAGCTTATTCGGGCCGGTGGACCACGAGGAGCTGGGCCGGGAGCTGCGGAGCCGCCTGCGGGAGATGGGCGAGGACGACCAGCGTCGCTGGGACTACAACTTCCACACCGACACGCCGCTGCCCGGGCCCGGCCGCCTGCGCTGGGAGGAGGTGGAGGGCGGCACCGTGCCCGCATTCTACCGGGAGACGCTGCAGGTGGGCCGGCACCGCGTTCCCCTACGCCGTGCCCCCCCGGCCCCGCCGTCCATCGCCAATATCGCCGCCGCCAAAGCTCCGGGGGGGCCGGGGGCGCGTCTGAGCCGGGAGAACCGCGCCGCGCCCCGCCGACGTGCGCTACGGCCCCGACGGAGCGGCCCCACGACCCGTATCACAGGTGCGTGCGTAGGGAGGCTGGGCGATGGGGGAAGGGGTGGCGGCACCGCGGGGCTCTCTCTGCGGCTGCTGACGGCCCCCTCCCTCCTTCCCTCTCCTCCAGATTTCTTCGCCAGGAGGAAAAGGCCGGCCGAGCCCAAAGCGGCGGCCGAGCGCCCCGCGGGCTGTCCGCAGCCCCCCGCCGCCGTGCCGGCTGAGCACACCCCCCGCAAGCGGCTCCGCTGAGCCAGGTGAGGAGCTCCGGGGAAGCCAAAGGGAGGGGGAGGAGCGGACGCAGCCTTAACCACGTCTCTCTCCCCTCGCTTCTAACTCCCCTCCTCCTCTTTATCCCTTCAGCATTTTGCACTACGGCACCCACGGGAGAGGCGCGCAGCCCGCAGGCGCCGTGCCCCGGAGTTGCGGGCAGCCGGGACCCCCCCGCACCGCGCCCGGCCCGGGACCCGCAGCGCCGCCGGAGCGGGGACGGAGCCGCAGCCGCAGCGCCCGCCCGCCGGGAGCGGCTGCGCACGGAGCAGTGTTAACGTACGAGTGTGCAATGTGTGACGTTGTGTACAGAAATGTATTATGCCTAATGTGAGTACACTGGCCAGAAGTGTAAAGCTTTAAAGGAGGGGAGGAAAAAAAAAAAGTCATTTATATGGAAATGTTTAATCTCTGCTGATCTCTCAGTTAAAAAAAAAAAAAAAAAAAAGCCTAAGAAAAAAAGGAGAAAGAAGAAAGAAGCAAGTGTATATTTGTACAAAACTTTTTTTTTTTTTAAGAGTTATACTAACTTATATTTTCTATTTATGTCAGAAACGTGGATAACTGGTTGACATCCAATAGTCGTCTTTTTTTTCTTTGTTTGGTTTCGTTAAGCCAAAAGGCACTATATTTGCTTTTGTTATTTACAAAATGTAAATTTATTTTTATAGTCGAATTTTGTTTGGGGTTTTTTTTTGTTTGTTTGTTTTTTGTTTTTTTTTTTTTGGCCTTCACATGATGTAGTAATGAACCCAGCAGTTTATACCCTTTACTTGAAGACAAGTTCCTATAGTTCCTGAGCCTGTCTGTTCCGCTGCCAGTGCCAGTAATGCCACAACCTCCAATAATAAAAACGTCCCAGGACCCCCTGCAATGCTGTGTGCTGTGCTGGTAGCTGTGGGATTTGGGGGGGAGGGGGTGGTTGCATCTTCTAGTGCCTCATGCACTGTGACCAAGCTGTTGGGAGAACAGCGTGGCTGCAAAGCGGGGTGGGGGTGTAGAGGCTGTTAGTTGGAAGGGGAAAAGGACTTTTTCCCTCACAAACAAGTGAGAGTGGTGCTGGCCATGACGACACGAGGCGGGGAACACACTTGTCTGAGAACACTGAGTTTTGCCTTTCTGCACCTCGATTCCCTCTTCCCGCAGAGCCGTGGCCCAGGCTGGGCCTTGGGGGAGCCCCACATTAAGGAGGGAGCGAGGGCAGGCTGTGCTCTCGGGGGACCCTTCCGCGTGCACGCCTCTTTCCCCATCACTTTGGGCAAAAGCCCTTCCCCACCTCTCCTATCCGAGTCCAGCACCGATTCCAACCCCACCCCCACTCCATCCCCCAACCACTCCAAGCCAGAATAGGCAAGAAAAAAGCAGCCCCCAGCCAACATGAATGGGGTGGGGGCACGCACCCGGGCTGGGGCAGCCCCGGTCGCAGCTGAGTCGGCTCCGGGCCGCGGCGCCCCGATGCCGCGGGCGGAGCCGGGGGGCCGAAGCCGGGTTGTTCCCGCCCCGGCTGTCCCCGCAGCGCTCGCCGCTGCCCCCCCACGTCACGGCCGCGGAACGCTCCCGGCTGTAAAAGTAACATTGATTACCTCCAGCTCCTTGATCGCTTAATCAGAACGGGATTATTTTACGCGCCCGCGTCAGCGGCCGTCGCCTAAACACGATTCCGCCCCCCCTCTCTCCCCCCCCTTTGAAAAAGAAAAATAGCTTTTTCCCTTTCCTTCTGAAAGCCAACAATGCCCGGAGTGAGGCAGCTGGATCCTCCAGGATTTATGGGCTTTTCTCTGGCTTTCATGCAAGCAGGTGCCTTTGGGACGTCCATTGTCCCAGCCCCCCGCTCATAATAGGACTTTCCGCACCAAGAAATCCCCGTGCCCGGCTCCCAAATCCCTGGGCTGTGGAGGTGGGCTCGGAGCATGGCGGGGGCTCCAGCTGCCGGGCACGGGGAAGGTGTGCGGCCGCCCTGCAGCCCGCTCCACCCAGCCCGCCTTCGGCACAAAGCACACTGCCCCTATTCTTCAAGCCTTTGTAGCCATATGGCAAATCCATGTAGACACAGCCAACATCCATTTATTCAGGCACATAATGTCCCGCAACAGGGAACAATTGGAACTTTGTTTGCTTCTATTATTGATGCGAATGGGCGACAGAGAGAGAGAGAAAGAGAAGGGAAAAAATCATTTAACTATAAGAGATATCCAGCTAATTATGAACCATATGTGCCTATAGTTTCAAAGCGATCCAATGAAGTTCATTTTAAATCTAGACTACTTTATTAGTACCGAAGACAGATGTCTCAGCAGTGCACGCATCAGAGGAAACCATGTAAAGAAGTTCCCGAAATATTTAACCGGGACTCATTCATTGTCAGAGAGCCTTTAAAGTGTCCTTTATCATCAGAATGATAAAGGAGGAGAGGGAGACTGCTGCTTGTTACTGCTGCCCCGCTCACCCCTTAGCAGGAATCCCAAATCCCATTTTGGATTTCAGGATAGGAACGGCTTTTGGAAACGATGCACAGTACTTGGCATCTATAGGAGCTCGCTCCCCACTTCTTACAGCTGCGTTATGGCAGACACTACGGTGAAAGTCAGCTCTGTCCCAGCTGAAAGCAGGACACCAACCCCAGGCTGAGGCCAGCGTTGCAATGGAGTTTCCCCAAGACAGAGCTCTAACTCTGCAAGATTCTGGGCACTCACATCCCACAAGCATCTCTTGATGCACACCCGTGTGGGATGCCCAAAGGAAAACTCAGCAGCAGAAAGGTTTTCAGGATTTTTCCCCCCCCCCCGGAAATGCAATTATCAGCAAACAACTTTGGCCAAAAGCTTTGCGCTATCTTTGCAAGCACGGCAACATCCACCAGTAATTAAGGCACTTCAGCATGATGAATGCAGCATATGGTTGGCGCTAGGAATCATTCTCCTGCCTGGCCACAACTTTTCTTTTTGGCCAAAACTTGTTCTATTATCACTTGGAAGAAACAAAAAAGCAGCTTGCCACTTCTTGAGCAAATATTTGTCCCTAATGAGCGGGAGGTGTAGGTAACAGGATGAGGAAAGCAGTCTGATGTTAAGAGAGATTTCCTATGTTTTGGTATGAAAATAAAATTGAACACCCAATTCACTCACAGAGAACTGGACTTGCTGGGTAGATCCTGGCAAAGGGAGTGCAATGGGGAGGAATTACAGATTATGTAATAATCCCCCCCATAAACACCCTCCCTTGCTGCCCCCGCCCCATCTTCAAACAGAAATAATAGCAGTCAGCATTTATACATCAATCCATTCATGCTTGGAAGGCACCACGATACCACCAGGAGCTGCACCACACCAACCCCACGGGGAAACCCACGACGCTGTTGGGCAGGGTTTGAACAGTGCACGGTTAATAGGACCCAGCACCGTCCATTGAACAGAGAGAAAAAGCAAAACTGAGCAACTGCTCATTAGGCGAGTGCCGTTCACCCTGTGCACTCAGTGCAATCATTTAATTAAAAGATTTTATCATCATGTGCAGACACAAGGGGGCAGAGCCAAGGGTTTCCCTCTCCCTCACCATCCCCACTTCCCTTCCTGGCTGCGGCCTTGCTGTCCCACCCCATCCTCCTGCAGCACCAAACACCACAGCCAGAGACCAGCCATGCTCCACCATGTTGGAGCAATTCTTGGTGTCACCTAGAAAAGAAACCCAACAATGGTTTTGCAGGCTAGGAAATCACAAAGGGAGATCTGATGAGGTTTCTCACCTTGCCCCATCATTTTTCCCCCACCTCCATCCAGGTAAGGGATTGGGACAGTCTCCCCCCATCCTGCACGTACTGTACTAAAATGCCAGATTCTGGCCCCCAGCACCGGATCCCAACGTTCCAGGTGACAGCTCTGAGGTTCAGCTCTCTCTGGTTTGAGGAAACACAATGGTTCTCCACTCTTAATGCCGATTTTAGGCCAAACCCATCTCTCTGTCCTGCACACTCAACATCACATGTGCTCCCAGAAGGAACATCTATGTTTGGTGCAAAGACTGAATGCTTGCAACCAGGCTTCTCTGCCTGGCATTCCACACCTGTTGTAAAACCTCAGCTGTGTCCACAGTCTGGCCATCTTAAAACACATTCAGTTTGCTTAACAGAACTCAGAGAGCACATTGTCTAAGATCTATTAATGAGCACAGAGAAAATAGAAAATGTATATTTGGAGTGTGATCTGTATTCATTGTTCTATGAGAGACAGAGGAAGGACAGCAGAGGGCACAAAGAAGAGCACAGCCTGCCCCAGTCACTATACTGCCCCAAAGCACAGCCATACACTTGCTTTGCTATGGGCTGGGGAGACACACAATCCATCTGCACACATGGAGCTTGCCGTGACCCTATGGAATATAAAGGGAGAGAAAGAGGTTGACCATTTTTGGAGGAGGATGCCTTCATTTCTCGATGCGACTGTAGATTATTTCGGCTTCAGAAGACAAGAATGTCCCTTTAACATCTGACCTGGCCTTTATTTAAGAGCAGCGCTTCACGGTTCAGGAAAGACAGACAATTTTCTAATTCCCAGCTCTGCTGGAGGCTGAGGCAGCAGCTTCCAGACAGGACACCTGCTAACACTGGAGAAATGGCATTATTATGTCTACAAGTTTACAAATGTGAGGATCAAAAAGCCTTTGCTTCTATTGCTACTGCACGGGCCAAGGATGAGGACTTCTTCAGAATGGAATTTTAGAGGTTTTCTCCCCCCCCTACAAGAAACGGTTCCTTTTTGCTTTCAGTGGATCGGTTTCCACATGAAGAAGTCAATAGGCAAAGGGTTCCCTAAGTTGCACTGGTGTGTAGCAGAAAGGGGATTAGACCTGGGGCCTTTTCACTGGCAAGCCTTTAAGCAAATAAATGTTCTTGAATTCTTAGAGAAACAAATCTAACTTGAGCAGAAAGGCAGAAAGATGGGGCCTGCCCCTCCCCAACCTCAACTGAAAAACTAGAAAATAAAATAATAAGGAGAGAATAATTGCTGAAACTCTAAGATATACCAGGATTAATTCTTCATCTACCCTGATTTGCTTTTATTTTTTCACACATTCATGAGTTGTCACATGCTAAAATCCAGCATAGTGCAATTGTTCACTTCCAAAGATCAGTTTGGTCCCTTGCAGGCACAGAAACAAGAAAATAAACACATACATACAATTTCAGCTCCTACCTGGTAGGCAAAGGCAGTGCTGAGCTCCTCACCCCAAGCCCAAAGCTGATGTTCCAAGCCTGAAGTTCCCCTCTTAAAGGTCAAGAAATCTCTCTCTCTCTATATATATACGATGATATATATATTAGGCATTTCTTTAAGCACTAGGAAAAAAGTCACAATAGACATCATTCAAAACTCAGAGGCGCAGAATGCATGCAGACAACCAATCTAGCAGCTACCCCTTATCACAAGCAGCCCCAGGTGCCCACAACTCCCAGCACACACCACACCTGGTTACAGATAACCAGAGGTAATTTAGGCCTAGCTGCTGGCTAACTTGCTCCAAAGTCAGCAACTAAAGCAGTCTGCTTTATGGAAAGAAGCCATAGGAAAAAAAAAATGAAATATGGTTAGTGATTGAACACAGCTTGGTGGGCATGGGGTTGATGGTTGGACTAGATGATCTGGATGTTCTTTTCCTACTTAAATGATTCTGGGATTGAGAACCAACTGATTGGTAGTGATTCCAGTGACTTTGCCACTTGTGTGCAGGCTGGAGATTAAGAAATTGGACCATGAGGATGGTTCAGTGATGGGCTGAGGGTCTTTTCCATCCCAACCAATGGGATAGAAAGATCGTAGAATCATTCAGATTGGAAAAGACCACTAAGAACATCCAGTCCAACCGTGCCCACCAACCACATCCCTTGGTATCCTATCTCCATGGCTTCCTGAACACCTGCAGGGACGATGACTCCACCACCTCCCTGGGCAGCCTGTTCCAATGCCTCACGCTCTTTCCGAGAAGAGATTTTCCCTAATATCCCACGTGAACCTGGCACAGTTTGAGGCTGATACCTTTCATCGTATCATTGGTTACCTGGAAGAAAAGACTGACCCACACCTCACTACAACCTTTTAGGTAGCAGTCATTTTCCCTTTGTTCCAAGAAGATGGATTTTCCTGCCTGAATTCAAGCAAATTTCATCCCAAATCTCTCAGAGAGAAGGCGGCTTTTCCTTTTTTTCCTTTTTTTTTTTTTTTTTTTTTTCCTGGGAGGAGGGCGGGGAAGGAGCAGGGCCGGAGGGAGGCGGCCGCGCTCGGGCCGGGTTTAATCTGATCACTTCCCTGTCAACCTAATCCCTGCCCGACTCACATCGGACTTTTCGAAACGTGCCTGGAAACCAAAAAGCAAACCTCATTTGAATGAAGCACACACTCCGCGGCCCCCATCTGCAAAGGGCCGCAATTAAATGCAAAAAAAAAAAAAAAAAAAAAAAAGGGGGGGGGGGGGGGGGGAAGAGAGAGAGAGAAAATTAGCATTTTCCGCGGCCATCTGGCATGAGGAGCAGGCGAGGGGGAACAAAAGGAGATTTAGGCAAAGGGGAGAGGCGAGTGTGCCATGGCATTGACCTGCAAATGAGCCTTTGTGAGCGAATTAAAGCTTCCCGGACCCCCCGGGACACCCCAAAACAGGCACCATTACGAACCATCCGGACAAAAACCCACTCATCAAAATTGTCTGACGCTTGGTGGTGGTGGGGAGGGGGGGAGAGCGTTTAAACCTGCCCCTTCCTTGCCTCCCTCGCCGTAATGGGTCCTTAATAGCGGCGGGGGGGCGGCCGTAGCGGGGGCGGGCGGCCCCGGCCTGGTTTCCAGATGCTGTTTCTTTAAGTTGCAGAGGGGACAGGGTCGTTTGAAGGTATCGCTCTGATACTGAGCGCTCGTCTCTTCTGGGTATGGGTGCTACGGCTCAAAGCTAAAGGGAAAGCGTTCAGCCTTAGAACTTTGCGACTCCCCTCAATTTCCCCATGACTCTTCCCTGGGGAAGGTTGGGCGAATCGGAGTGAAGGCCAAGGAACAGATACGGAAGGGGGTTGGGGGGGAGGGCGAGGGTGCGCGTCATCCTGCCCCAATCACCTCTCCGCGGAGCAAACGAGCACTGAAGCCGGGGGCGGTCGGAGGACAGGCTTTTCAGTAAGACGTGGTTCTGTGTGGGGGCAGCCCCATCGAACCCCCCCTGCATGAGCCCGAGGGGACCCCTCCAGGCCGTGCACGTCTGTACGCGCATCTTTGTGGGTGCTTAAGTGCATGCACGCGCGCACGGCGTAAATGCATGCGCTGATTTGCGCCCATCCGCGGGCATGTGCGCAGCTCCGGGCTTCCGTTTGAACGTGCGTTTGCGCGACTTTATGCGCGCATGTAGTGCACACACGCGTATGTTTGGTTCCGCCAGCCTCCCTCCCCGTTGCGGCACGACCAGAGCGCAGTCCCCCGGCCTCGCCAGTGCGTTTGCTGCCGGCTCCGAGGCTCTGCCGCCCGCGGGCGGCCCTTTGACGGCGCGCAGCCGGGCAGAAGGCCGAATGACAGCCGGCTCGTGGCTCCCTGCCCGCCGCGAGGGGCGGGGGCACGGCTCTGCCCCCCCAGGGTCGGCCCGCAACCCCCGTGGGTATGGGGTGGTTGAAACTTGGCAGAGCCCCCGCCCCTCCTCCCCCAGGCTCAGCGCCCGAGGAGAGGGAGGGGGGGGGGGATCGGTGCGAGGTGCTCATTTAAACCCGAGGTGAATAAATTACGACCGGGCGAAAGCGGGGACAATGTCTGGGAGCGAGTGTTTGCCGGAGAGTTGCTATTGCGGGCTTTGAAATCAATTGATACATAATTAGATTCCTCAAGAGAGGACAAACAAGGGCTGCATTCACCCCTCCCGCTCCCACCCGCATCCCAAAGAGCCGTGGCGCGCGCAGGACGCAGCCCGCCTGCATTCTCCAGCACCAAAACCATATTCTGGCTCCGGGTGCTCATTTAACAAACAGCTCCTTGAACCTTGCTTCTGTTTTCAGTTTATTTCGCCCATGTTCCTTTGTGCTCAGTTCATTAAAACATGTCGCTTTTGAGATCTATTTTTACATTTCAAGAATCCGGCATTGTACTTCTGCGGTGGCAGATGGCCCCACACACCCAAGCAAGGCTCTGTACTACTTTAGCCTCCCTCGTTCCTGGGTCCTTTCTATGCTGCACTCTTCGCCACGGGCAGCACAGTGCCCAGCCCTTGCTGTGGCTGTGCCTTGGGTTGAGTGCGTGCTCCTCCTGTAGCTGATGCTGAGACTGTGCCTTGTGCTGAGGTTCTGCGGTTTGCTGTGATCCTTCAATGGAAGGCCAAGTCTTGAGGGAGAGAAGAGCGAAGGGCATGGCCAGGGAGTGCAAAGGAATGCCTGAGAATGGAGAACCTAGGTTTGTGGAAAGCACTATGGAGTGAGGGAAGCATCAGAAAAGGCACTGCAGTGGTTATTGGACTTGGCCCTTGGCCAAGGGGGGCACCAAGCTCTGTGTCTGACTTGTTTAGCAAGAAAACTTCAAACCTTGTTATGGTAGCTGGATCTGGGAGCCATGGGCATAAGGCATGTCAAGTGTGAATAGGATTAAAAACAACGTAGCAGAGTGAAGAAAGAGCTCCCAGGTACTACAGACTGTGCCCTAGGTAGGGTGCTGTGTGTTCTGAAGGCATTCCCAAGGCAAAGATGAGTTCCTGCATCTTGTTGTCTAGTGGGGTCTTTAGGAGGGGGTTAACCAGAATCATTATAGAGTCATAGAATGGCTTGGGTTGGAAAGGACCCCAAGGATCATCAAATTCCAGCCCCCTGCCACAGGTGGGTCTCCAACCTCCAGGTCTGGTATTAGACCAGATTGCTCAGGGCCCCAACCATCCAGATGTTTGGGAGTATGAGTGGAGGTTACACTGTGTCCTCTGCAGTAAAGAGAAACAAAGCCTGGGAAGTTATCCAAACAAAGAGGTTTGGTTGGATGATACCCAGCGTAGAAGTGCTCAAACATATGCAAGCACATCTGATTGTGGTGGTGCAGAGATATATTATACATTTATGTATATATCCTTGTGAGTGTGCTTTCCATATCTGACTTTGTGTAGTTCACAGCTTTACCTGAGTTAGGTAACATGGGAGGAACTGGCTGGGAAGGGGCATGCTCTCCTTGATGCCCACTCCTGCATCCTGGCCACTACCAGTCCCTGCTGTCAGTACTGTCCATTTTGTGTCTTGAGTGAGCCCCAGCTGCTGGCAGACTCTGAAGAAGGAGAACATGAATTGGAATTAGCCACATCTGTATTCATTTCATACAAGAATAAAGCAACAAATCTCACCCTGTGCCATTGTCCCACCTGTTCCACCCATCCCAAACGCCTCCAAACCTGACTGCTGCAATTATAACAGAAATGAGTGTTTTAATTGGCCACGGATTACTTACATGGCATGTTTAAACCTCTAGTGATAACAAAGAGAACACAATGAATAACCTTGATGGTTTTTCTTTGATGAGCAAAGAAAACACCTGAAGTGATTTTAAAATGAATATAATGCTTTTTTTTTTTTTTTTTTTTTTTTTTTTTTTCTTTTCCCCACCACAAAAGCCAGGAAGTGGTAGTAAAATTAAAGCATTTAGATTTTGGTTTTAGCCAGATTTTAAATACCACGAGTGTCGTGTTAGATGGGTTTAGTAGGAGTTGATGTACATGTAATTTGGCCAAAGCGAGGTGGCAGAGTTATTCCAGGAGCAAAATTTACTATTGCACACAATCAAATGCACTATTTTTAAGATAAGGATTTAGTAAAAGAAGGAGATAATGAAAAATACAGAACACCAAGTTGGCAAGAGGGGAAAAGAAAGGGATGGGAGGAATGTTTAAACTAAGGAGAAGGAGCTGAAATTCTGAGAAAAGCCAATGAGCTGGTTTGTAAATTCCATATAGGGAAATAGAGAAAGTTTAAAACAATACCACCCCACCCCCACTGTGGTGAGGGTGGGGGTCAGGGAGTACAGCTGGGGACCATTATTCACTGCTGCCCTGCTTTGATTGCTGCCATGACACATCAGTGAGAGTTCTGAATCTTCCAAGGGCACAGGCTGCGAGCTGAAGTCAATCACATGGCTTTAGCCTATGCCAGGGAAGGTTCATGTTGGCTATTAAGAAAAATCTCTTCTCAGAAAGACTGGTGATCCACTGGCACAGGCTGCCCAGGCAGCTGGTGGAATCATTGTACTTGGAGATGTTCAAGAACTGTGGAGATGTGGCACTGAGGGATGTGGTTGGTGGGCATGGTGGGAGTGGGCTGGGGTTAGAGTTGGTGATCTTAGTGGTATTTTCCAACCTTAATGATTCTGTGATTCTAGGATTAATCCTATAATATTTGCCACCAGAAGAGCACCAAGCCTAGCTGAACTCCTCCCGAATTCAGGTACAAGACTTTCATTACTTTAGCAGCAGTTGAGTAGGGAACCATGCACATACTCAATCTTGGTGAATACTCATGACAACGATGACAACAGAAAACACCTTTTTATTTTATCTGTGACCAGCAAATGTCTGTTCCTTGGAACAGGCTGCCCAGAGACGTGGTGGATGCCCCATCCCTGGAGACGTTCAAGATCAGACAGGATGGGGCTCTGAGCACCCATGTAGTGTAGGTATCCCTGTTCATTGCAGGGAATTGTACCAGATGGCCTTTAAGGGAACCTTCCAACACAAACCATTCTATGATTCTGTGGTTCTCTTCCAGAGGATGCACAAGGCAGATGAAGAGAAAACAGCTGTTTACAACCATGCATTCAGCAGCTTTCCATCCTGACCTTTCAGGTGGGATAAGGCTGGAATTGCCACCATTACCCTTGAAGTAAGTGCAGAGGATCAGGAAACTGCCATCTGAATAGTCCCAATGTCTGCTGTTCCCTCATATACTTGGTAAAAGGTAACAGATTTCATAAGTGGGACCCAGCCTTCTAGATAAGCTCATTACAGACAGTTCATGTCTTCATGGACCACAGGACTGGATGCTTTTAAGTTCTGTATACAGACAGGTCTTACAAACATACAAAACAAGCACAGAATCAAGACATTATAACCAATGGCTTATGCTCCAGTTAGGTTTCTTTTCTACTCAACTATGTGCTGCTGTTTGCTTCAGTGGCAGTGGATGGAGAACAACAGCCTGACCCCTCCTGGCAATGGCTGCTTTCCTGCAGTGAGATTTTTGTGGGCTGAGCCTGATTCATTCACCAGATCTGCTGATTTCCCGATCTCTCCTCGGCTGCTGGGCTTTGCACTGTATTAAATGTTCTCTTTCACAGAGCCCTGACTTACACAGGCTTTGCTGGCACAAGGAAACCACTGCCCAAAAATTCAGATGGAAAGCACTTTCCAGGAATCATCTCTTCAAGTGCTGTTCTGCTGGAACGAGGCTGCCCCGTGCTCTGCTACAAAACGCGCCTGACGTAAGCCATCCAAATCTACGCCGCACTGCAGGGCTGTCTGGGGTTTATCTCACAGTGCACGTGATTTACAAACTGCCTTCCGTTCCTGGAATCGTGAGACACACTTCATCCTTTCCTGGAATACCTGCACGGGTAGGCTTATCCGATGCCTTTAAATACATACCTTCGTTTTGGATGCCAGGCAGCTCACACAGAGCAATCCCATCCCTTGTGCTGTTGTTGTGTTTAGGTGGATAGGTTACTCTGTTGTGACGCCACAACCAGAGCAACGTGTTAATTTTGGGAGTCATGTGCGTGTGTAAACTCTATTTCCAAGGCAGGACATGCTTTGCAGGCCAGCAGTGGGAGCAGGCACGCAGCGGGCAGGGGGAGGACAGCAGTTGTGTGTACATATAAATACACAGAAATCTCATTAAAACAACGTGAGGGCTTCCACGATTCAGAACAGATTTTATCTCTTGTGTGTAGCACAGATTACAGTTTTGGCTGCATGCTTCCCAAAGCAATTGCAGACACATTGTGCATTCTGCTCGCTTGCCTCCTGCTTGGAGTGCTCAGCCCTATGGCAGCAACCCACATTTCTCCCTCCACTGCTACGAGGCCTGGTTGATGCGAGTGTCCTACCTTGGCTGTGCATCCACATCAGCTGCTGGTTTTTTTGGGCATGTTGCATTCAGGGCCTGTTGACACTGTGACAAGTTGGTTGTGAGCTCTGCAGAGGGCTTCCTGGACTTTCTTTTGTGCGCTTTGTTGTTTGTGGGTCGTTGCCTTACCCAGGTTGCATCTCATCTGGTGGACACCCACTTAATGGATCCAGATATGTTCAGCCAGGGCTACGTGGGTGTCAGATTTTAGATGAGCATCCATGGTGATGGAATAGCATGACAATTAACTATGTTAATGACCACAAGCCCCATTCAAGCTCCCTTGATATGAAGGGAGCTGCACCATCCCACCAGCTGGAAGCAGTGCCAGTGGTGTTTCGGTGCAGTTTTACAGTGTAGAGATGCTGTTGGCTGCAAATGTTGACTGCAGTAAAACACGCACAAATTGTTCAGTACAAATGTTGCTGGGTTTAAAAGTTTCCTTGAGAAGTAATGCAAGTTTTCAAATCCAGAAAGAATATTGCTGGGACTTGCTGAAGTGCTCAGTATAAACTGTAACACGTGAGCCATTAAAGTGAAGATATTTGGCATTGGCTGCTATGCATATGGGCCTTTCAAAACCATTCTGTTTGGCAGCTCCTGCGATCCCTGAATGATGCATGACTTCATTTTACACGTTCCTGTGAGATGCTTCTGGGCAGTTGGCATGTTTAAAAAAACTTGTCACTTGCGAGCTGGAGCAGAAACCTGACGGAGAAACACAGGTATGGTTTAAGAGAAGTGTCTGCAATCTGCTTGTTTGCGTGGTTCCTTTTCCAAATCTGAGCTTTGTGTTGGGTTGTTTGCCTAGCTACGTTTCGCTGCCAGGCTCTCAAGGAGGACTTGTAGCTGCACCACTGAAGCAGGGTATGCAAAGAGAATGTCAGAGTTGTTCGAGGCCAGGGACACTTTCTGTGCTGATAAGCGACTCCTGTGAGTGGCCAACTGATCCATCTCCCTCTCTGACAGTGCCTTTGTCTGAGGGGACTGTTGAGTGAGGCTTTAAGGCTAAGCAGAGGATAAAAACATACAATTGACCATGTCCAATGACTGCCTCAATCATGTGACATTTCCTCCATCTACATAAAGGCATAATTGACACTTTGGACCTTGCAGATGTTTTGCAATTCATTTGGTTCCCACAAAGATATCAGAAAGTTAGTCTCGTGAACTGGCAATGCTGTGCTTTCCTCTGAACATGTTCTTCTAGCTAAAACGTATTTAGATGCAAATCGCACCATGTCTCATGGCCCCACTTGTTTTGTTTTGCTTTTTCCTTCCCATTGCCTCTAAACAGACTGTGCCATCGTTTTTTTCTTCTTAAAGTATAAAAATATTCAGACATTTCTGAAAAAACAAGCACACTTGACTTCTTTGCGCGTGATCTGATTCACACGTGAATGTCAGTATATCCTTTTCCCTTCTACTCATGGCCTTCTGCTTTGTGCTTCCTAATTTAATTTGTCTTTCTGGCTGCTCAGTGATCCTTCCCAAAGAGAAATCTCTGCTGAGAAGCTATTTGCTGTGCTTTCAGCAGGAACAGATGCTGTGAATGACTGGTTGGCTTAATTTGGCTCTTGGAGGTCTGGACAAAGGCATAGTGCTGCAATCCAGCATGGACCTTGTGCCATGCAGGGAGATCTTGGTACAAATCTAGCAAAGTCATTGCTTCTTCATGTCAGTGAGCTAAGCTTCGTCCTCTGTGCTATAACCTTCCTCTCCATAAAATGGGGAAGAAGCTATCCAGGGTACATGTTACTTCTTCCCTCAGAGATCTTCAGCTTCTGTAACCTCATGGCCAAAGGAGTTGTCTACTTATTGAAGAGGACTTGCTCCAAACTCATGTACTTCTCAGCACTCCACAGGGCTGGCTGATTGGTCCACGCCACTGATATATTTCCTATAAATAGGAGAATACTGTGCTTTGTTGAGACCCCTCACACTTAGCCTTATAACTCCTCTCCTACTTGCTCTCACTTGGCTGGAAGCGGTAAGAATCATGCCAGCCTGGCCAGTGCTCATTAAAATGAAGAAGAAAGCAGGGCCTTCCTTGCAGTACAATGTATGATTCTGCTGCAGTGTGGCATGGAGGCACATCAATTGTTTTCGAACAAGCTTTGAAGATACTGAGGTAAAGAATCAGAAGGAGGTACAGAATAGAAGGAATGACTGAAAGCTAAAACTTCTCTTGATTCGTTCATGTATTTCTCTCACAGACCAGGCTTATTGCAGTCTAGGTTATAGCAAGATCATTTCCTACACCAGAAGAATTTACAATTTGCTGATGAAAAACCAAATAAGAATCAAAGATACTGGTGAACAAGTTCATGCCCTGAAAGAATAGTTGTCCATTTTAATAGTGGAGGAATTAAGGCTGTAATAACCTCAGGGCAAGGAATGGATTGTTGTGTTACTACACCAAGACTGAACAATGCTCAAGATAATGCTTAAATAAAGTTGCTTACCTCAGGAGAAAGGAACTGGGTGAGGTCTGTGGCCTGAGCAGAGCTCCAGCCAGATGTCTGGTGAGCTCTTCTGCTCTTAAAGCCCATGAAATGCAGGAGCAGCAGAAAGTCTTGAGTCAAACAGACCAGTTCCCTGCCTTTGCAAGCAATCACAAATGAACCAGGTGACAACGTGACATTCACACCAGGGTGATATTGCAGAATTCCTCTTCTCTGGTGTTTAGAAACCTTCACAAATGTACTCATGGATGATATATGTACCTGTCCTGTGGTAGCATTGTTCTTAGGGTGAAACAGCACTTATTCCCATATATACTCATGGAGAGAGCAACCTTAATCTTTTGCTTTGCTAGATTGGACAGAGAAACCCCTGATATGGAAGAATATACCACTCCTGTAAGGGAACACTTAGCAAGCAGACTGAGGGCAAAACGTGCTGCCAATCAAACCTTAGCTTAATTAGCATATTTTAAAACATTCTTAAAAACAGAATATTTTTAAACGAGTCTTCTGGCTCGGCATTACTGCTCACAGTGATCTGCCACCAACTCTAAGGTCTACCAAGCAAGGTATTGAGGGTGGTTTTGATTTGAGAGAACCATACACCTCATTTCTTCTTATCCTAATAGTGGATCTGAAATATTTTAGGCAAATCTTTTTTAAAATTGCCTCTTGGTCAAATATATACATATATATGTGTACGTATATATATATACATAAATAGTGTAAGTGTTCAGAAGTATCATCCATAGAATGTTATAAATGAGCAAAAATAATGAATCAGATTTGACACTACAACAAATGTATCACAATATTCAGATAGATGTCATAGAATCATGGGATCATTAAGGTTGGAAAAGACCTCCAAGACCATCAAGTCCAACCATCCCCACCATGCCCACTAAACCAAGTTCCTCAGTGCCAAAGCTACACATTTCTTGAATGTATGTATGCTGCTGTTATTTAATGCATGAATACAGAATCTCTCGTAACTGTTATTGGTAGTTTTATAATACCTGACCTTCACCTGAGAGACAGGATGCAGTATCTTATAAAAGTTATCTATACCTTGACTTATGGAAGCAGTTGAGCTCGAAGTTCAGCACATTTGTGCTTAAAGGCCACCAGTATTTTCTTAATTTTAGGTTTTAATGCTTCGTAAAACTTCATGCTTGATGTGGTAGGTTTCTAAACATATTTTCAACTCCTCTGAATGAAGGTTCTATGCCATGCAGATATAGAATGAATGTTGTGGGTCTATGTTGTGTTACAGAATGAATGTTGTGGCAATCTATGTCAATTACAACTATTTGAGGACACTAACACCACTGGTAGGACTGTTCTGTGTCGGGGTAAAGGATTCTGTGGGCATATGCGTAGTGTTGGTGGTGAAGACATTCATCTACTACTTCTGCTTGCTGATGAAACCATCCGAGTTACGGTTCTACAACAGAATTTCAGAGTATGATGCACAGTCCCTGTGCTTGGGTTATAGCCCAGACTTTGGCTATACTTTGATAAGAGATAATCAGTGCTCAAAAAACATCACTTTGGAACAACCCACCCCATAGAAAACCAATAGAAAAGCAAAGCCAACGTTTTCTTTTCAAATTGTTTCTAGCAAGGAAAAATCGTGAGACTTGTAACAAGCAGACCTACTTCCTCCAGAAATTGCCTGTCTTTTTTTGTCCAGCTTAAAGGATGCAAGCACCTAAAAAAAAAAAAAGAAGCAGGCAAATAAATAAAGTCACCTCAGTGCTTCATGGATATCCTGGCTTTTGCAAAGACTTGTCCAACCACAACCTGAATAATTCAAAGCATTGTTGTCAGGCAGCAGCACAGCCCTCCTAAATAGGCACTTGCCTTATCACTCTACAGCAGATGCTTCAGCCAACCATTGGATATTGAAAACATAAATAATGAAACAAAATTTGGAGACAATGGTTTTGGGGCTGGGGACAAAATACTCATGGATATTGTCAGTCTCTGAGTAACCAAGCAGCAAAAGCTCAAGTGACAACAATAGGAAGGAGAAGAATGGGGACAAGTGAGGAGGCCTGAATCTCAATAAGGCGCGGAGCTGCACATGCTGCTGTTACCCTAGAAACTAACCTCTCCCCTGAAGAGGTTTGCCGGGGCATTGTTTGGGGGACACAAGATGTGTCATACACCAGATGGTCGTGTGCTGTATAACTCAGTTATCTGAGAGGACAGAGTAAAGGAATGCGCGCTGCAGAGCTCGTTGCAGGGCTGAGCAGGGCACCATCTGTTCTTTCAGATCCAAGCCACTTTGCTTTTGCTTTTTTTTTTTTTTCTTCCTTCCAAGGAAGGAGGGGAAAACAAAATTAAAATGATTCACCATTCAGAAGGAAAAGAAAAAAAAAAAAAAAACAACAAAAAACTTACTACAGTTGCCATCTCTCGCTTTAATTTAGCTAATTTTGTCCCCGGGTTTTATGTCAGGTGAATTGCTTCTTTTATGCTTGGGAGAGCAGCCATTATTTCTCTCTCAGGAGTCTATCATTTATAAATAAAACCCCTTTGAAACCTCGTTGGTCATTCACCATCTGAAAACCCCCAAACCCTCCCGACCATATGTTGCCGAACGTCCCCTCTCTCCTCCCTGACGGCGCGAGCGGTGTTTGTGCAGTGTGGGGGAAAGAAGCCGTCCTTTCCAGGAATTGTTCTCCGTCTCAGCACGGAGAGGGAAGGGGGGAAGGAGGAAAACAAAAAGCCAGAGTGAAAATCGCAGTCTGCATGACGGGTGCAGGAAGGAAATATTAATCACGGCCCACACAGCACCAAGGAGCGGTGACTCAGGCGTCTGCGAGGTGAGGCAGAGGTGTGGGCATGACAAAACAGCACGTGAGCGTGCTGCCAGTGTCACCAGAGTCAGCAGAAAAGCTTGGTGCCTCCGGTTGAGTGGGATCAGGCCTTGCATGCACTTGCATCAGCTTTTGCCTGATGATTCCTACAAGAGCACCTCCTTCTGCCCGGCAAACCCATATCCAGATGGAACTGAAGGAGAGGAAATGTTTGGATTAATTGAGAGGGAAATCTCTAGGGAAATCAAGTAAAAAGCATGGACTCGAAGCAAAAATTTGCATGCAGAATAAGAGCCAAAGATTGTGTGGATTGAGTGGATTGGGTTGGAAGGGACCTCAAAGATTGTCTAGTTCTAATGCCTGCCATGGGCTGGGTTGCCAACTGCAAGACCAGATCAGGCTGCCCAGGGCCCCATCCAACCTAGCCTTGAACACCTCCAGGAATGGTGCATCCACAGCTTCTCTGGACAGCCCGTGCCAGTGCCTCATCACATAAGGAGTAAAATCTGAACCACGTTTTATATTTAGGCTCCTCCGTATAGGCAGCTCAGTTAATAGCCTGATTGGGCAATCATCAGGTCTAACAAATTATTAGGCAGTGGTGAAACAGCAGTTGTAGACGATAGCATCTCACAAACTGCATGTAATCGTACTGTTTCCTACATGCTTCTGGTGCTTGCAGCACAGGTAGTTCTTGTAACATCTATATCTAATGTATTAATCTTTATGTATTAATACTCAATATAAGGACATAACACACAGCAGGACTAAAAGAGAACTTACTCTTTGACTTTCTTTACTCTTTTTCTACTCCTTTTTTTTTTTTTTTTTCCCTTATTCCTTTCTTTTCTTTCTTATTCTTTTTCCCTTTGCTTTCTTTTTCTTTTTCTTTTTTTTTTTTTTTTTTTTTTTTCCTACAAGATTGACAGTGTTTCTCTCTTCATAAATAAAAATTCACAGGAAGGAGATGATGTCTCCCCAAGCAATCCCCTACCTAAATGAAATAAAAATAGTTAGTTATTAAAATACTTAGTTATCAAAAGAATAACATCAATAATAATATTTCCTTCATTGCAATTTAGAAAAATGACCAAAATCTGTCCAGTGACTGTGCTCACCTGTGAGACAGTCTGGGGCCCAGCTTTGCCCTCTTTGAGGACAAACCAAGCAACCAATGTGCACCAGCAGCCATTAGAGCACAGGCTGGCAGGGCAATGTGCTTCAGCACAGCTCTCTGGACGGATTGTGTGAAACACACAGGCACTGCATGCTCGGAGCACTGCACACAGACTTGGTAAATTATGGCAAGAAAATCTGTAAAGCTTCTTCTGTTCCCCTCTCCAGGGATTTGCCTCTCTCTGATCCAAGAAAGCTCACTGGCGACCGCCTATCCCACTTTCTGCACCTGGCTGAGTGATTTACCAGAAACTTGACAGGGTCGTGGAAGCTTTCTTTCCTTTGTTCCACGGGTGTCTGCCATGGAGAGCCAAGTCTGGATTAGCTGAGTCTAAATCCCTGGGCAGTTCGCCAGAGCAATGCTAGCTCTGAAGAAAACGGAGCTCCGAGATGATTTTGAGACTGGCTTTATGCATCGGTTCTTCTTAGGTGCAAATCCATGGGCAGGGAGCATAATGCTTCACGTCAGGCTAGTAAGCTGTTCCCTGTAGGCAGCAGTTGCCAGCCAATGTGGGAGTTATGTGAACTTTCTGCCTGGCTCGGACAATGCAGCTTCTCTGGGGCCAGCCCTTCCCTGGCAGTGCTCCCTCGCCAGCCGTGTAGGCATCTTTTCATTGGACAACATGCTGCATTACAATAATGTGCATGGACACGTTGAACAATGCTTCCATTCGGCACCTGCATTTTCTTTGTTGTGGCGCCAACCATTTTGTCATATTGGCTTTTGGGTCTCTGTCATTAGGAGCGATGCGAGGATTCTTGTGCTGCCCTGGGAAAGCACTGCTTGGTTTTCCAGCATCTTTCTGTTGCTGCTCCATAGGCAAGGTGCACGAAGCTCTGCAGCAGCTGGTGGCTCCTGAGAAAAAGTCTTCTGCAAGTCCTTTTTCAGCCTCAGGAACTACAGTTGCCCTTGTGCCCTGAAGCTGAGGCTACTATCTGGTCAAAATCTCTGGCTTAGGGCTGGGGGGATTTTTCAGTCTGGTTCTTGTGTAAACAACGTGAATGCAGTCAGTATTTGTTTTGGCTCCCCTGTATGGCTTTTGAACACATCAGCCTAGTTCAACTGAACTTCAAGGAAGGGTAGAGGGCACCAGAACAGCTTGCTCAGAGAGATGGCCGGAAGCCCTGTCCATGGAGACACTCAAGGTCAGGCTAGATGGGGTTCTGAGCGCTTGATCTAGTGTAGGTGTCCCTGTTCATCGCAGGGGAGTTGGACCATATGGCCTTTAAATGTCCTTTCCAACTCAAAAGATTCTAGATCTTGTTTAGTGAAAATTTGCATTGAGGTGGTAGAGAGAGAGGCCCTACCACCATGCAGTCTGAATGTTCCTACCATGGAAAAGCATGAATTCACATCTCATCAGACACCAGGTGGGTGACGCAGGAAAAGAACCTGCAAAACACTGTAGCACAGAAGGAAGTTTCAGCTGGAATTTGCACTTAGACATCAAAGTCATCCCTCACACAAGTCATGAAAAACCCACTATTTGTAGAAATATTTGGATCATGGAATCCTTTGAGTTGGAAGGGACCTCGGAAGGTCATCTCAGCGACTTCTTGTTCTCGCACCTAATCCTAGCTGGGACTCAGTTAAATATTGCTGAGTGATTGGGTATCAGCTGTTCTCCTTCTATTAATTTTGAACTTACTTTCCTCCACGTTCCTTCATCTTAGCTGCTGCTGGTCAGGGAGCCCGAGAGACAAACTTTTCTACAAGCCATTTAAAAAGAAATTTCAGGGCATCTAAAAAGAATTTGCTTTTGTGCGAGAACATTTCATTGTGTGAGTTCACATGTGGTAGGTAAGGAAAACTTTCATCACTAAAGTAGAAAGAAATACCTCCAATATTATCATGGCTTGTGAGAGACTCATGAGAGTTATATAAGCCAACGGTCTGAAAACAGAAAAGGGAACAAAACTGGCAATTCAAATGTCTCTGTGACCACAGGGAAAGCAATGCTACAGCTACATCTGACTCCAGCTTCCACTAAGCCTATGGGAAGCCTTCTTTAATAGATTTTGAACTTGCAAAGGCTTATATTGGCCCGCGTGGACTGAGTAGTCCCACTGAAGGCAACAGCCCAACTCCCACGCATAAATGAAGTACATAAGTACACATTCACAGGAGTGGGACATAGATGGAAGTTTTCTCTTTTCTCCTTCCCTGCTCCTGCCCCTCCTCTTCCCAGCCACCATCCCATCAGTGAAATAAGAACAGTAATACCCATCTCAGCAGGATATGTGAGGATTAGCTGAAAACTGTTTTTACCTTTTCTCCTTTAAACTCACAGAAAAGAAAATCTTCCTGCATTTTTTTTATAGTTCAAGGAGCAATTTGTTCCTTACCCAGACCTTTCCAACTCGGTGGGGGGAGCCCTGGAATCCTTCCACCTTCCCCTGAACTGATGATAAATCAGCACTGAGGTGTATGCTGGCCACAAGAGCCATTAACATGCTGCAGTGAAACGGCCATTTTATCTGCTGACATCAAATTGTTTCTGCCTCAGCCAGTATCTGAGCACGATGCTGGCCAATGACATTATTTGAAACAAGCCTATTTTAAAATACAAAAATGAAAATGAGTGATGTCCAAACTCTTCTACTTTTCTAAGATACTTTGTGAAAAGGAATCTAAAAAGGAACATACTCTAATGATCAGTCTGGCAGCAGGCACTTCCAGCTCAAAAACCACTCAGGCTCAGAATAATAAAAGATTCGTAGAGATTACACTGTAATATAACTGTGGTCACTAAAGTCCCATTGTGTTGGCCATGGAGCAAACACACAATTGACAGACAATTACTACACATTCACTTACGTGCTTTGGACAGTTTGCATGAACAGAAACCATCAAACAAGGTCCCAACACAACATACTCCCTTTATGATGGTTACTGCAGGGGTGTCCAGCTTGAAGGCATCAAACTGTTTAGCTCATCTTCCTGCTATCCTTATTCCACAATGCACTGAGAAGAAAGACACTGAGATACTTACTTCTGACAGAAGTCTTTCAGGTATGAAGCACCAACAGATGAGACAAATCCAATCCACTTGTCAGGCAGAGAAGACATGCCTTTGATGAGTAGCTGTGGTGGCTACCTTTGGGCAGATTTGGATGCGTCAAGGACAGCCTGGATCATCTTCTCTTTTTAAGAACAAGATGAATCATTGGATTTGAAGTCACAGGTCACCAAGCTGGTGATCTTTTTGAAAGGTTCTGTTGGACCAGATGTGGAATCAGACCTGCTAGCAAGCTGCCACAGACAGAACTTCAAAACCTGATTATTCTGAGGACATTGGTGATGGCAGTATTCACATGGACAGAGATAAACCAACACACCAGCATGAGGACATTATATAGTATTGTGTTGATAGTAGCCTAAGAGAAAAAAGAAAAGCCAGTAATTTTCCTGTGTATATTGAACTTCTGGATCTTAGAATAAACAGAAGGCGTGGTAATCTTCTCTTGTATTTTATTAGGAAATTAGAGATTGATCAATAATCTAAAATTACACAGTTAATCTTATTTAAAAATGTTCAAAATCATCACAATAATTTTGATTTCTATAAAACGTAATGCCCAGGTACAATTCCTGTTTATGTCCATACATTTCTCCACCCTTAACATGTATCTACTGTACAGCAGCAAGATGAGATGATTATAACATAAATACAGTATACTTTCCTCTGCAGTCCAAGTGAAAGAGGTGAAATGTTTCACGTTTAAAACAAGGCTCAGCATGTAAGCAATACTATGAGATGGTTCCCTGCGATCTCAGGTCATTACACATCAGTATTTCAGACTGCTTATACATCCTAAAGACTGCTAATGCTAACTGCTGAGCAAAATTATGAGGCTTTAGGGCATCAGTTTATATATATATATATTTATATATGTATATATATGTCTCCTTGCTTTCAAACACTGAAGTCTTTCATAGCATTAATTAGCTGTGTTGTAATCCTCCATTTTACAACACTGTCAAATTTAAGGACGTTCCACTTTCAAGGAAGTGTGCATGGTAGAGGTGTTAACTATCAGCAAGGGTTGAATTTCAATTTTAGTAAGCAAAGCTCCAATCCTGCTCACGTTTTCCTGCTCACGTTGTGCATGTGAAAAATCACACCAAGCCAAACACTGCTGCTCTTATTGCAACTATAATGTGGGGTGAGGTGGCTTGCAGGTTAGGCCTGCGTCCTTTTGATTGGAGCTGGCACTTCTGAATATCTAATGACTTTGGTAGGGACCAGAATTTCTCATTCAATTATTCAGGAAACTATTAAATGCTGTCTGGACAAGGGAGGCTTTCCTGAACTGGAGCCATGATTCCTATGAGAATTATGGATGCTCAGAAAGTGGCCAGCTCAAGCACTTGACCTGCAAGTCCAGTCACGTTATGCTGTTGTACTACTCTTGGATAGCATAAGCTGAAAAAAAAAATAAAAAATAGATTTAAGAAATAGTGGGTCTTCTTTTTAAAAAGCTATTTCAGGACAAGTACATTCAGACCACTGCGTTTTCTGTTTATATATAAATTCTTTGGCAACAATTTTCTAGAAAGCAGAATCATTTTTCTATGTAATGCTTTATTGTCTCCCTGTTAAAAACTGGTATCTTAAAAAATCTATAGCGCTTTCCACTATAAATAGTATTGTTCCAGATTAAGTATTAGTTCCTCCCTGAAGAAAAACAGATTAAAAAAATCTGGTCATTATCTGATAATGTTTATGTAGCAACGTTAAAATAAAACAGCAAAAGAAAATCATTCAGCATGTGGTTTGTCATTCGCAAGAATGTTAGTGGTATATTTATACAATAAAAACAACATAAGTTATCCTATTTTGTTTTAAAAACCTTAGTAGTAGAAATATATTGCTATCTGCAGGTTCATAAACAAAATGCAGATTTCCTATCTAAGTTCAAGTATTATTACAATATTATTATTACTGTTATTATTATTAAAAGAGCTCTAAATCTTTGCAATTTTGCCTGCCTTTAACATTGTTTCGGTCTTTCTGAGCAATAATGAGTTGCTATAATTTTTGTTCATCAATAGAATTAATGTGGAGCTTTGGTAGGTTTTGCCTGGTAGAACACAGCCTGTCAATCCTTGGGCTATTACGAGTGGTTTTAGAAGAGTGCATTTGAGATCAGTGGTATAGATATTGCAGTCGTGTTTTCTCGGATGTCTGATGAACTGAATTTCCTTCCAAGTTCCATTTAAAGGAGAAAGGTGGGAAGAACCCAACCCAGACTTTTACCACATCAGGATATATCGTCTTCATTTCTTCCCGGCACGGTCAGTTGCTCGTAGGTTGGCAGGGTGTTGTTTGGGAGGAAGAGATCTGAATTAATGCTGTTGCCTTTCTGAGATGACCTGTTGTTCCCTTGATCCCCCTGATGACTTGAAACCAGACGATGCAGCATCTCAGTAATGAGGTTCAGTTTCTGGTCCATCTGCGTAACCTACAAAGGCAAAAGGAACATTTGTTTACCATCAGCATGTGAGAAAATTGCAACAAGCCACGTGATAAACATGCTGCATTAAAATGATACTTTTCTTAATTAGCATGACAATAACTTCTCGGAAGACACCAGAGATTCACAATCCTATGAACTGTGTTAGGAATTCAGTGCAATAGGTCAGAGCTGGATGGCAAATGAGCCCTCTTAATTCTCATCTGTGGGATGTGCTCTGATAGTCATTTTATACCTGAATGAATGCATGATGCGTGAGCTTTCAAAGAGATGTGCTGGGACAGAGAACTAAGTCCCAGAACTGAGCTTCTGTGGTTTTTGTTGCTATTATTGTGTCCATGTTTTTATAAAACATTGTAAGCTACCAACGTGCCTTAATGATATCAATATGCTATAGTAAACATCCCCTCTACTTACAGTGATCTAATCCACGCTAAGCCAGGACTGACTGACGCCCTCTTTGTTACATTTGGGTCTAATTATCAACCAGGCCACAAAATGCCCCACGGATATTTTTGCTGATGCAAGTGCATAGCAGCTGCATTCTGTGGCAAGGGGTGGAAGTGGAACATGATTTAGTTTTATTCTGTCACTGCTCCAATGACACGGCATTCACCAGGATCGCCACTGGAATTATGTGATGCACAGCAAATTAGAAACTCTTTTAAGGTGGGTGAAAGCAGACTTTAAGACTGGGGACCTGCAGAGGAAGGTTCAGAATGCTTATTTTCTTCTGCCTTTGATTATGGTGATTTTTTTTTTTTCTTTTTTTTTTCCTTTTTTGCCATTCTATTAATGCCAGTCTGTAGGTGAAAATGTAATGAAAAATCAGCATATCGAAGACAGATTAGGTTATGGATTTGTCCAAAACTTAGATTAAACTTGGAGTACATTTGAAGTTCTCAGAAGAAAATCAAGAACCAAATGTTTCTAGGAGCAGCACAACATAGGTCTCCAGTTTCTTGCATTTTGCAGTCAAAAAGTAATGTGTACCATCCCTTTTATCTGGCATGAAAAACCTTCTCTCTGCTCTGACTCACATGTACTGAGCCAGATGTCCTGAGGGGAAGATGGGCACTTACAGCTACGATCTGGCCAATTTACAATCATGCCTACTCTGCCCATTGGCATGGCAAGCAAGCAAGCATTCCTCATGGAAAGATGCTTGTCCTTCCTGGATGAGAAGAGGCTCGGAAACAGGGCAGTGGGAGCCTCCTTATGGCCTCAAACTCCTTGCCCCACGCATAAAGAAAAAGCCACAGTTTTGTCCTTGTAGTCTCGTATCCATCCACAGCAATCCTCAAACACTAAGGAAACCTCTAGGCAAGAAGATGTAATAGTTTTCAAAAGGGAAAAGAAAGTAAGCAGAAAAAAAACGTGATGGGAATAAATTGCTGCCTCAAATATCTGCTAGAAAGTAGTGAAAGGCACATAAAACCGCCAGAAAGAGCATGAGTGGGAGCAATTTATATGTGCCTGGCTACCATCCAAGTATCACACAGGATAGTAAAAGACAGTAAGGCTGAGCAGAACATCAACAAACCTGGAGGATTTCAGCAGAAACTAAAATGTTTTTCCACTGTAGAGAAAATGCCGTTTTTTTCAAGCACTTTGTACAACTGGTAGGGAAGCAGATACAGTAATTTAAAAATATGAGGTGCCAGAGATTTATACTTTGCAGCTGGTTTTGAAAACATTAGGCAAAGCACTCTAGATGATACATGAAACACTAGTAACTCTGGATGGAAATGGCTGTTGAAAGAGGAGATTCTACAAAAGAGGAAGCTGAAGAACACAAGTTCAAGATTTCTAGAAGGAAATACAGATGGAAAATGGAGCAGATCATCAGGTTTTCATTTCATCAGTGTTTGTTCATTTCCTCAAAAAAGGCATGCCTTGCACTAACAGCGCCCATCACAGATAGCAAGTTCACAATGCTCCGAGCAGGACGGTATGAATCAGGGGTAACATTTCTCATTCCTGCAGTGCCCACTGCTCAGGCATTGCTTGCTTTCTGAGATACTGCACTGGAAGGGCCTTTGCTCTAACAAGAAATGTCTTTTTGCTAATTATTCTGAACTCAGTAAGGGGATTTTTATAGGGTATTTTTTAATTTGTGATTCCAGGCAGGGATTACCAGAGAAAACAAGGACTGAAGATATATCTGGAAAATGTACATTTATGAAACTTTTGCAGTGATGAGCTATTGAACATGACAGTAGATTGGACTGAGATCTGGATAGTCCTTCAACAGCTGCGCATCTTGGTGATGAAGTACTGGGGAGAAGTGAGATGTGAATACTCTTGCTGGGAAATAAATTCCCAGAGATAATTGTCTAATTTTTCTATGGAGTAAGATTTGGCTGCTGCAGCTGTGGCGCGCAGGAGGCCCACAGAAGCAGAGGCAGAAGCTAATTACTATTGAGCTGAACCATACGAGATAAAAAGCAAAGACCTAACCTCATCTTCCCTGTTCCTGTTAATTGGTGAAGGCCTCTAGAGCCACAGCGCAGCAGTTGTGCAGGAAGATACAGACAGCTGGTTGCGTGTTGCTTTCTTGTTTCACCAGCTTTCTTTCAGATAAGGAGAGTTATTTCCCAGAAGTTCTGTGCCCCTTACAGGCCTGCTCCAAGACATGCTGTAGATGGCAGGAGATTTTGGCAATCTCAGGCTTTCAGTGACTTCAGTGGACTCTAAATCTTGGACCGAATGGTTAAAACCAAGCAGTAGCATTTTCTCTAGATATTACAAGAGAGACAGAAATTTTAATTTCTGTACATTGCTTTGCTTGTGGTTTTTAGGGCTAGACCAGAAAAGATGACATTTGCAAATAAGACAGCAATGGGACAAAGGGCCCCTGCCCTTAATTATGCCAAAGCAGGATTCTCTGTTTAAAGGACGAGACGTTCTAAAGAGAGAATCAAAAGCCATCAGAAGGCCATTTCTGTCACTGCAGGTCTCTGATGTGGAAGAATAAGTGCCTTGCTGGTGAACAGCCTTGCGTGTTAGCAATTCCAGTATGCTTTCTGTCAGCCAAATACACGTCCTCAGAAATACTCTTCACTTGTTTGCTGTAGAGAAAAGTTGCCATAATATTAACTGCTTTGGACAACTCTGATCTCTCCACTTAAAGCAGAAAACAGTGTTAAATAGATAGGAGAATAACTCAGACTGTTTCTTTTACGAAAAACTAAATTAGCTCTTTCTGGCTGACTTATGCTTTATTAGAAGTATGAAACTTGCCTGTTCAAATAATTTATATACAAGTAATTTCCTTTGTATTTTGTAGAAAGTCATAGGACAAGGGGGAATGGTTTTAAGCTCAAGAAGGGAAAGTTTAGATTGGATGTCAGGGGCAAGTTCTTTACACAGAGAGTGGTGAGGACTTTTTCTATCTGTAAAGAAGCCACAGAGGCATACGATTGCCCTGATATCCCATACAATAGACTATAGGCAATGACATAGTTCCTGTGTGCCACAGGGTCCTTTCAGGTCATGTTTTCATGAAAAGTGGTCCTCTGTAACTGAGTTTAAAATGCATCAAACAAAGGCATCAAAGGCATTCCAGGAGGCGTTACTGAACAAGACTACAAGACTGCTCTTCTGAGAGGAGGAGAGAGCAAAACTGATCTATTAAGTTGAGTGAGCAACTGATCTATTAAAATTCCATAGACAGTCACATACTATTCATTTAAAATGCATTTTACTCATTCATAACAGATCCATGATATGATTCAGGATACAAAATGTCGCAATGAATTTCATTCCTTTTTTCCTACTCCTTCGCCCCCCCAAAAAAGAAGCCAGGATGGCTCCAGGGACAGCTGGAAGACAATCTCCTTCATGCACCACTGTGAAAGAGAAATAAAAAGGGTCTGGAGATCCATCCCAAACTTGTTACAGGGATTTACTGGGAAGGGGTAAGGGAGCAGGAAATACAGGGCCAAGAGGAATGGTGTTTTCAGCCATGGATATTTAAGATAGTGGGGCAGGAGCTCTACTGGTGGTTTCTTAATAAGGAGTCCCTATCGCACTGCAGGCTAACAAACTTTAATTGAAAAAAACATGACGGTCTCTTTATCTGTGCATCCTCTTAAGTGGTTTTGCAAAGAATCCTTCCCATGTTTGCTATTCAGTACTATGCTTGCTGATAAGCTAGTGTTTTATTTCAGAAAACATGCACAAAAATCCTTTCTGTTAACAAAGCCATAGGCACACTAATGACTCAGTCAGAGCAAAAATAAGAGGGGAGAAATATTCCAGAGCTTACAACACATGTTAATGGCAATGACACAAAGGAAGGTATCAGTATCAAGCAGCACTTCAGAAAACACTGAATGCATCCTTCAAGCTAAACATCTCTTTTTAAGGTGTGGTCATAAATCATTCATTCTTTAGTGAGATTCATCCTATTTAGGTACTGTTCTTAAAAATATTTGAGGAAGTTTTAGAGAGCAGCTTCCCTGGCTCCTCTTCTTGCTAAGTCCCTACACGTTGTGGTATCTCAATATTTCTAAAAGCTAATACCTCAGAGATTTCACGGTCCCATGAACAGGAACAAAGCTAGGAGTGGCTTTTCAGAAAAGTTCAAGGATATGTAGGAATCTGCACAGATTTCCTTTGCGCTTTTCTTTGCAACTGTGATTGAGGCAGGAAAGAACAGCAAATTCGGTATTATTAAAGAAAGTCTCCTTCTTCAGGTACACCGTTTTTCCATAATATTGGCAACATTCATTCTTCCATTTACAGCATGCAAGATTCCAGATTCTTGAGAATCCCCTTATCAGAGCTTCTGGCTTCGATATGTTTATTTTGTTGCCAGAGATTAGGCAGTGTTCTTGCTGGAGGTTATATACTAGTCGTTGAGGTGTTTATAGGAGAATGTAATCTGCATGAAGGAAGATTTGTTCTCCAGACTGTCTGTACTTTCTCTTGAGAGTTGTCCAAAGAAGGGAGTATGTGTGCGGTGTCTGGGGGAAGGATAGAGG